TATGACAGTGGAATTTACAAATATGTGGATTCACAAAGCAAGGTCTCTGAATGTCCCTCCCAAGAAAGTCAAAAGGTTTAATGGTAGCTGTCAAGGGAATGCATGATTTTAGCACTGTCTGTCTACAGGCACATCATAATCTAATCGGATGTTCAGCAGGCAAACTGACAATTCTAGGACTCACATTTAAATTGTGCTACTAAATTTTAGCATGATGCCTTTTTAAATCAAAGTTAACATACATCAGTTACCTCACTGGAAAATGAGAGAAAGCAGTGTATGTATCTGTCTTTTGGATACTAAATTGATCATATATCATGCAAAGTTCACCTAAATTCTCTTATGTGAAATTCAAAACTGAAGTAGCTCTTGGAACAAATATTTTACCATGGCAGTGATTCTAAGGGGCATTGATTACAATGCACAATTGTAGTAATTATAGCCCTATCTAAAACATAAATGCTACCTTCTTATGTTTGTATCAGGAGAAAGACTCTTAGTAATATTTCACCCACATTCCTTAGTTTCATCTTCAAACAAACAGAAAATTGACTACTTACAAATATATCCATAGCCCAATTGCCTAGACATACAGTGAGAAACATGAATAAAGACAGACTTGTAATAGATAAGAAGCTATTGTGTGCTATGGAGTATGATTACCTGGAGGTAGGAATTGCAGTTGGTTATTAGCTAACCGAAGATGACGTAAAGCTCTCAGACGACCAATTTCTGGGCAAACGATTTCTAAGGCATTGTCACTAAGATCCAGACACTGGAGTTTTACAAGGGACCCAATGGCTTCAAAGAGAAAAGAAGGCGAAGGGCAAAATGAATTTGACCCAGGTGTTACACCAAATCTATAACACAAGTACTCCAAGTTAAAATATTTTAATACTTACCATCCCTGTCTCAGTTATTCACAAAATAGTAAAAACATAGATCAAACTAAATTTAATGGAAGTGATAAATACTTCCACCTTGAGATATAACAACATAAAAAACAGCACAAATAAAAACACTAAAACAATGTAAAAACCGCTTGAATAGGCCAGGCATGGTGGCTCACACCTGTAATCCTAGCACTTTGGGAGGTCAAGGCAGGAGGATCACTAGAGCCCAGAAACTGGGGAACAGACTGTACAACCCAATGAGACCCCATCTCTAAAAAAAATAGAAAAATTAGCTGGGCCAGTGGCATGCACCTATAGTCCCAGCTACTCAGGAGGCTGAGATGGGAAGATGGCTTAAACCCAGGAATAGGAGGTAAGATTGATCCACTGCACTCCAGCCTGGATGACAGATTGAGATCTTACCTCTTGAAAAAAAGAAAAACTGCTTGAATAAACAAATATTCAAGAAACATTTACAAGGTCTTTTTTTATCCAACCAGAATTCTTAACTGCATTTATTAAATTTATAATTTATTTTATTTACCTAACAGCAATTTATCTAATAATAATTTATGTAACCATTTTAGACTTATTTATTCATAATTCTTAACTGGACTTATTAGGGGGAAAAGTTTTAAAGCTAATAAATTAAAGGTGCTTTATAATTAAAATTCCCTAATACATCAACCGAAATAGGATTAAAGAGACAGTTTTGGCCAAGCGCAGTGGCTCATGCTTAGAATCCCAATACTTTGGGATGCAGAGGCAGGAGGATCACTTGAGCCAGAATTCAAGGTTACTGTGAGCAATGATTGCACCACTGTAATCCAGCCTGGGTGACACAGAAAGACTCTGTCTCTTAAAAAAAAAAAAGAGAGAGAGATAATTTGTTCTACTTACAAAGCAAAGCTTAAACTATATTGTTTTCTAACTAAAAATTCTAAGTGTACCTACCTTCTGGAACCACAACGATGTTATTTGAGTGGAGGTACCTGGGAGAAGGGGGAGAGAAAAAAAAGTCATTATCATTAAGTACTTGTGCCAGATAATCAGTTTATAAAATGCTTGCTTACAAATTTATCACATAAAAATGGGCCAAAACTTTCTTTCACACTATACTTCGATGCATCAACACAAAATACATGGTTATCACAGTAAACTAATAATACTTTGAGAATAATATTTTATGCCAGAATTACAAATATTTAATATTAAATCCAAATCTATTTACTGATTTAGTTGCTATTTTAAAATAAAAGTATGCATAATAAACTATGAAGTATTTTTAAACTCATAAAGCAAATTACTAGTTTCTCTATTCATTTTAAATTATTCGTGTTTTCAAAAATATACCTTTTGTGTAAAGAAAAATCAACACCTATTGCGTAAAGGGAGATACAATTTTTAGTTTTTAAGAGTAACTTCACAAAATAAAGACATTTCTAGCTAGCATGCTTACTGAGAAACAAGAACGGAGAGATTAAATACTCATTTACAGTACCTGTAGAAATATCCAACTGTCAAGGTACAGAATGTATTTCACAGCAAAAGAAATTGCATAAACAAGAAATCAAATTCTTCTCTTAAAAAAAAAATTTCTGCAAGGCTGACACGTCTAGGCAAGTCTAAGAAAATAACTTTTCACACTGAAGTATCTTTAGCACACTCTAGTGGACACTTTATGCAATTATCATAATCACTATTCAGCAAAACGACAAAGGGACTGCTGGAGATCATACAGCAATAATTTAAGAAAATTAATTTGTATTATTCGTTTCGAAACAAGAGTACTAGTTTTAGCAAACTTTATTTTCAAACCTCTAGTTTCTTTTATTTTACTTTAAAAATAAATTCTTATAATGTATTTTTAAATAGAATTTAGAAATTTTCTTCTGTATTTTTAAAGTCTAATATTGAATGTTAAAATGTCAACGAACACAGAATAAGAAAGAAAATAATTTTATGAAGGTTATTCTATGCTGAATTAGAGCAATTTGTAGACTATTAATATCCTAGGTATAACACAATTTAAACAAGCATGCCATTCTATATTTCATTCCTTGCTTTGTATATATGAAATGATTATACATTTTTAAATTAATGCTCTTTAAACATTAATTTTAGGAAGGAATAGCAAGGTACTTTATTAAATGACCCTAAATACAAAAATAAACACTTGCATTTGTTACACAAAAGCCGGAGTGTCTAGATACTAAAACAGAGAACTGATTTTCTAAAATTTTTCAACAAAATACTTGCCTCAAGTTCCATCTATAAAAAAGGACCTTAAAATGTCCAAATCAAAATATGAACTAAAGTACCCACTATTATAATTAAAAATTTTAAAATATATTTTAAAACATTAAATTTATCTACATTATAATGAAGATGCTAAATAAAATGGTACAGAGTATTCCCAATCCTGACTATACACTAAAATCACCAGGGGTCTTATTGGTACCCAAGACCATTCTGTACCAAGTGAAACACCGTCTCCACTCCTAAAGTGATTCTGATATATAATGAAATGAGAACCATCACTGGTACAGTGGATCAGAGAGCAGGCTCTGGACCCAGATGCCTGTACCTTAATAGCCATGTGACCATGGGGAATTTACTGAAACTCTCACTCTCCTAATCTATAAAAGCAAATAATAATTGCACCAACAACATAGGGATATTGTGGGGATTGAATGAATTAATATCAGTGCTTGGTGCATAGTAAGAGTTCAGTGAATGCTAATGTTATTGTTATTATAGTTACGATGAGTTATTTATAATCATAGGCTTAGGACTTTCAATTTTAAGTTGCTTCCTTTTACTTAATTTTGGTAACTTCAGAGTAGTTAAAATGTTGATGTTTCGATGTAACTTGTTTTCATTATGTTCTTCTACTCGAATAATGCAGGAATTCTCATTCATTGCTAGTGGGAACCTCATTTTGGGGCACAGCCACTTTGGAAAATAGCTTGACAGTTTTGTTTTTTAAGTTAAATATAGACATTTACTTAGCAGTAATACACCAATGGCAGTTTCTCAGTTTTGACAAATATTCTGTGGAATTCTAAGATGTTAACAATAGGGAAACTAGATGAAGGGTATACCAGAATGCTCTGTACTATCTTCATAACTTTTCTATAAATATAAAATTGTTCTTAAATTTAAAATTATTAAGTTTTTTTTAATTAAAGGAACAGAACTTCCACTTCCAGCCATGATGAAGTAACAGGGATAGAGTAAACAGAACTTACCTGACTGATATAGACAACAAGAAAGCAAGATGAAATACAGTCATGTGTTACTTAATGATTAGAATACGTTCTAACAAATGTGTCATTAGGCAATTTTGTCATTGTGCGCACATCATAGAGTGTACTTACACAAACCTAGATGGTACAGCATACTATACAGCCAGGCTATATTGAACACCCTATTGCTCCTAGGCTACAAACCTATACAGCATGTTACAGTGTTGAACACTGTAGATTACTGTAACACAATAATAAGTATTTGTGTATCTAATCATCAAAAAAGTACAGTAAAAACACAATATTATAATCTTATGGGACTACCACCATATATGCGGTCCATCATTGACCAAAAACATCATTACACTGCACGACTGTATATTAAACAATTATTTTCAGACATTAACAACAGGCAAGCTATTAATGTTCCCTAAGAGAAAGGAAACAAGTGAGGTAAGCCATATAATCTTCCTAGCTTTCTGTCTGGAGGCAAATTCTGTATTGTGGAACAGGAAGGAGATCCCAAAGTATAGAAGTCTCACTGAGTTATGGACACATATATCAGAGTTAAGGGAAGCTGAGACAGCTGGAAGTTGTGGGGTAGAGTTCTGGAGAAGAAGGTGCTCCCAAATAAAAAAAAAATTTAAAAACTCCAAAAATTTAAATAAGAGATCCTTTGACTCTCAGCTGAATTCTAAAGTGCATACACATAAAAGAAATTCTAGGCCAAAAGCAACTTAAAAGCTACCAGCTAAATAGTCCACAAAGCTCACACAAGGCTGAGAGGCATTCAAGTCCTGAGCAAGTGTGACAAACCTTTGTTGATTGCTTAAGGTATTCAAAAGAGATCCTACAAAGCTCATGCCTTGGAAATAGCACTACACTACCCTTAGATTAGAGGTTACTCTAGACCTATCTAAACAAAGCATAAAAACAAGCCATAAAAGGATCAAACTAAACTGCAAATAAC